CAACCAACTCGGCTTCGTCTACAACATTCAGCCATCAAGCCTCGCAGGTTCGATTTCCGAACCACCTCGGCTTCGTCTACAACATTCAGCCATCCAGCCTTGCAGGTTCGATTTTCCAACCACCTTGGCTTCGTCTACAACATTCGGCCATCGAGCCTCGCAGCTTCGGTTTCTCAACCACCTTTGCTTCTTCATCATTCACCCATAATAACACATTTCTAACTCCAACCATGGTATAAATATCTATATTTGGACTTGGGGGACTATTATTTGAGTTCAAAAATTCTTTCAATTTTTACCCAACCCACTAGCTTTACTTTATCAAAGTCCACGCATTACATAAATGACTATACTTGGACTTGGGGGACTATTGTTACGTGTTTGTCATACTTGGGCCTATGGCCCACTTAATCCTAGCCACGTGGCACTCCAGTCGAGGTGGCTTGTATGGCTAAGGCCTCTCATGCCGAGGCCCATATACCGAGGCTTTGAAAGTTTCCGAACTCCGTATATCAAGGCATGTGAAAATTTCTGAAGCTCTAAAGCGGAAGTACTACATGAGCAGCAGAAACCTCCGAATCATGAAGGAACGTCTTCCATGATCACCTCTCCCAAGAGTTCTTCTACATAAAGATCTTGTTTGAATGATTGATGGAACGTTTATCATGAGTGTATATATCAAGTCTTATCACTAGCATGGGGGTTATGCACAAGCAATAAATGCGCAGCAAGCTAGCAAGTCAAGGATGATGCCAAGGATTGGATGTTTGAATTAAGGAGATGAGGCCACGTGCCACCTCATCTAAGGGCTGCCATTTCACATGTAACACTATAAATACTTTCCTTGTATAATATTGAAGGGCTAATGCAAGAATCAATACAAGAAATCACATTTTTACTCTCTCTTTCATATTATTTTACAACATAATACGAGTTCATATATATTTACATGCGCATCCGTGAACATTGATTGGTAATTATTGTACAATCGGATTAAGAACATCCCGTCGGATTTCGAACGTTCTCGTCCCGCGTCGTTGAGATACTCCCACGTCCCTGATTCGTTCGCTCTAGACCGTCCACGTGTCTTAACATGTAGGACCTTCACTCACGTGTGCGCGGGTGGGTCCGGCATTTGTTGGTAACATTTTTTGGGGTCAACAGATTCTGTTAGTCGCTTATTTTCCAAACTAATGTTGTCTATTCAAAGTCAACTATATTAAAAACAACAAAAACAAATTTTTATACCCTTCCATTTATAATGAAATAGTAGTGTTTAAAATTAAAATCTGTGTATTGATTAATTTTTATACCATACCATTCATAATGAAATTGTAGTGTTTAAAATTAAAATCTGTGTATTGATCAAAATCTCTGTTTTTTGTGACAAATATAGAAGATGTCACAAACTTCAATGGTTCCATGAACGACGTAGTGTTTGGGAAAGACGATATTGTTCAAAAGAAATGATTAGGAAGGAATTGAATTAGGTTGTGATGGCATTTGAAAGGCGGTGAGATCAATAATTTCGAACATCCATCTTTTGAAGGACATATAATCTGATGATGATGTTGGCTATCAATTTCCAGAGTATATGGCTGAAATGGATATGCGAGATCTACAATCAAGTGGGACAGTTGTTCAGGTCTGTACAATAATTTAAAAGGGTGATTTGAACTTATGGTACACTAAATGGATATAATGTGAATTGTAAAGCGAACGATGAAAGAAGTGTTTAAGGCATCTGTAAACTAGGGTAAAAATGGAAAATATGAGCTTCTAAGATGAATAATTCAGATATGATGCAAGTGAAGTTGTACACTCCTCAACACACATGCAATCGGAATCAGTACAATTGACATTGCAACTACATTTCCATAGTCTATTGGTATATTGAGTAGTTCAAGGTAGATTCGAATTGGAAAATGAAAAGTATGCAAGTAATCATGAATGGGGACTTGAAGATAAATATTAGTAGAAATGTCGTTTGAAAGGCAGTAAGACATGCAAAGCGGTTGATAAATGAAACTATCAAAGAACAATTTGTGGCACTGAGGTCGTATGCAACGGAGGTCTTGAAGACTAATCCAGAATCCAATCCATAGTGATGGTAGCACTTAATCGGCAAGTATTCGAAGGTGTATTAGCAACCCTAGATTTCAACATTTGAATGGAGTATGCTCGTGCCATTTCCAAGGTGTTTAGCAGGATTATAATGCTCACTATAGTCAGCTTAGATACAAATGATTGTCTTTATTCAGTTACTTATGTCTTTGTCCAGAAAGAGAAACGATTTCCTAAAGATAGTTTTTGAAATATCCGACAGAAGATATTTAGATGGGAAATGGGATCGATTTGATTATGATAACCGATAGGGAGAAGGGCTTAAGTAATATCATTGTCAAGTTATTTCCAGAGGTTGAGCATAGGTTTTGTGTTAGGCACATGTACACGAAATTTTTCAATACAATCATGCTACTTGTACATTTTGTTTGACATCATTATTGACATTATGCCACGTGTCAGCACATGATTAGACAATTTTTGCATTCAACACAGTTTCCCGCCAAAGCATTTTCGAATTTGCACACGATGTCATCCAAATTGTCACCCATGGAATGTACAAGGAGCTTTATTTATTACAATAAAGGATTTACGGGCAAGACTTCAAATTGTATTTTTTATGGTGAATTATTTACTGTTTTTGGTTTTTTATGGTGACATTGGATTTCTGCTAGTTTTGGTTTCGGATTTTGATGGTGTCCAGATATTTATATGAAATGGTTACTTCGTCGATGATTCCTTTTCTTCCTTCCATACAAACATGATTACTCTTTATTAGTCGCTCAATATCGTGGCTAATAATCAATTGAAATGTGACACGATGAAGTTTCCTTTACTAGACATAATCAATGAAATTCTCAACATTACAGTTTACAAATAGCACCCATAAACATAATTCAACGTAAAGTCTAGATCATAGTAAGTAAACATGGAATTAAAAGATAAGTCTTCTAATCAATTACATAGGTGGAAACATTCACGAATTTCTTCCCTTCCGTATCTCCTTTTCCATTACTGATGGTGATATTGAGGGATATCCCCACATCCTCTTCCTTTGAAATTTGGGATAAATTTTTGAACATGCGTGACAAATCTTCAATTGGAACTTTAGAATTAGTTTTCGCCAAACAACTGCATCTTGATCATATTCATCATTAACACCACTGGATTAACCTTCATCTTGATTCACGCCAGTCCACTTGAAATACCAGCAAATACGACTACAGCAAAAGAATAGTCGACCTATGTTTACGGTCTTATTTTCAATTTTATCCATTTCTCAAAGCCGTTGCCACAGTATGGACATCGTCATTTTTTTCGATATTTCTACAATCGGTGCCATGGCTGTCTGCAACTGTGACAAATCTTCTTGTTTTAGTTTATGCGTCGCTAATGTGGTAGTTAGTCCAGCATTTGACAAACTCACACAATGTCAAATAGAATATGTCCCGTGGACACACATTTTGTACCAAACAAAAAATGTATGGCGGCCATGAATATGTAGTAGACATACATTGTGAGAAATTAATACCTTGACCAATGTCTCCGAATATTGAGAAGGACCAAATAATTTAGATAATCTCCAATTCCGTTTAGCCTTTGTTTGTCAACCATTTTACCACATTATTTTTTCTCAAGCACTCATTTCAACTACACATTCTTCATTAAAATATTATTACACATAAATCAAAAAATTATCCTTCTTTTTTAACCATAAATTTCAAAATTAATCACTATTTCAAAATACACTTTTTGAAATTAAGGGCAAAATTAAAGGGGCAAAAACAGGCCCTTAATTTCATCTGAAGCAATTCTCCTAGCAATGACATAGCTAAAAGCATCTCTAATTGTATTCTAAAATAGATCTAAATCATAATTTTGATCTTTAAAATGACTGAAATCATCTCCAAAAAGAGCAACCTACTGGAAAGCATGATCAAGAACACATTTTGAAGAAATTCCACTCAAGGCGTGAAATTGAATTTAACAAAGATGATGATGTCTATCGGCCTAGTTTTCCTCCTGATCTCACGATGAATGAGTTTGGGGTCATGGTCTGTATTTTAAATTTTATGATCTTCACACTAGTCTTCAGAAAAACTCAAATCAAACCCACTTCAAGAAATTTTTTTGCCCAATTACCGTATACGCAAGAGAGGTTATCGTATTTGCATAGCCTTAGCTTACCGTATATGTATACACCAACCTTACCGCATATATTAGATATTTCACATCCAGCTAACTACCAACTAATTACATGCTGAGCTGTCATTTTACTTTTTCCCGCCTCTTTGTATTTATATAAGTGCTTGAATTGTAACAACAAATTGATAATTCACTTCTTCTATTGAATATAAATTTTTCCCTCCTTTTTCTCTCTTTGAATTCAATATGGTATCAGAGCAGATTTGCCTCATTTTCTAAATCTTCTCCAGAGTTTGAATCAGATCTCTGTTGATCTACCTCCACCGATCACTATTTTTTTTTTTTTTGAAATCTGATTCGGCATCTCCATAGCTACTGGTGCTTCGATGTCATCAGAAAGTTCAATTTCTTCAAGGAGCAATCTGATAACTGATGATGGATTGAGCTCCTATTATCTTCATTTTTCAGATAGTCCAGGCCTCGTCCTGGTTTCTCAGCCATTGATCGGTGATAATTACGCCTCTTGGAGCAGAAGTATGATGATAGCCTTATCTATGAAAAATAAACTAGGCTTCATTGATGGATCCATTCCGAAACCTACAGGTAATGACAATTTGATCGATGCTTGGACTCGTAATAATAATATAGTCATCTCCTGGATACTTAATTCCGCGTCTAAGGAAATCTCAGCAAGTGTTATATATTCGGAATCTGCTTATGAAATCTGGAAGGATCTTAAGGAGAGATTTCAGCAGAAAAATGGCTTGAGAATTTTCTAGTTGAGGCGTGATATGGTGAATCATGCTCAAAATCAATTGACTATAGGGGCCTATTTCACTAAACTGAAGACAGTCTGGGAAGAATTAAGCAATTACAGGCCATCTTGCTCATGTGGAAAGTGTACGTGTAAGGGAATTAAGGCTTTGGAAGATCACTATCAAACTGAATATGTGATGTCTTTTTTTATGGGACTTGACGATTCTTTTGCTCAAACTCGTAGCCAGATACTGCTTATGGATCCAATACCGCCTATCAACAAAGTATTTGCCCTTGTATCTCAAGAAAAGCTTCAGAGAACTATGAATAATGTAGCAGGAACATCCACTGGGAATAATCCTATGGCTTTCAACATAAAAAATGAGGGTAATCGATCAAATAATAAACTACAGCCTGGTAAGTATCAGAAGAAGGATCGTTCAATCTATAGCTACTGTGGATTTACTGGCCATTCTATAAATAAGTGCTATAAACTTCATGGTTATCCCCCTGGATACAAGCCAAGGCAGAAGGGCTCTTACTCTAATCAAGGTGTTAATGCAACAGCACACCTGGTCTCAGAATCCTCCAATGATCAAGGAAATATTGGTGGTTTTGTCCAGACATTGCCAGACCAGTACCATCAGCTATTGACTATGTTGAATATCCATCTGACATCAGCCAAAACTAGCACAGAACTTGATGTGAAATTAATAAACACAGCAGGTATCTCCTTCTCTGTATCTAATCACCCTAATCTTCACTCTCCTAGGCATTGGATAGTGGACTCCGATGCCACAAATCACGTGTGTTTTGATCAATCTCTATTTCACACTCTAGTTCCTATCTCGAATTCATTTTTTACTCTTCCCAACAAAACTCGCATACAAGTCAATTTTTCTGGAATAATTCGAATCAATCCTTCATTGATCCTTTATGATGTTCTATACGTTCCTCAATTCCAATTTAATTTGTTATCTGTTACTTCTTTAACGAGAAATTCTTCACTTCAAATCATCTTTCTTATGGATCGTTGTCTCATTCAGAAAATACCAACTTTGAAGACGATTGGCAGGGGTAATAAAGTTGCAGATCTTTATGTCATTGAGAGTGCATATTGCTCCAATTCTTGTAAATCTGTTCCAGCTGTTATTACTTGTAATTCCTCTAATTCCAATGTAAATAATGTGTCTTCGTAAATGTGGCACAATAGACTTGGATATTTGTCCTTAAATAGCTAGAAATGTTGAAAGACAAGCTGCTATTCAACTGTAATAACCATAAAGATGTTCATTGCTCTATTTGTCCATTAGCTAAGTTTCCAACAATAACCTATGTCAAAATGCCTTTGATTTGATCCACTGTGACACATGGAGCCCTTATCATACACAACACATTCTGGCTATCGTTATTTCTTAACATTAGTAGATGATTGTACTAGATTTACCTGGGTTTTTCTCATGAAACAGAAATTTGATGCTAAATCTATAATTTCAAATTTTTTTTCATTCATTGAAACCCAATTTGGCAAGGTTATTAAAAGGTTTAGGTCTGATAATGCACCTGAGCTTCACTTTACTGAATTCTTCAGTTCCAAAGGTGTATTACATCAATTTTCATGTGTTGAGCGACTTGAGCAAAACTCAGTGGTGGAAAGAAAGCATCAACACCACTTAATGTTGCTCGTGCACTTTTCTTTCAATCACACATCCCAATAAAATTCTGGGGAGAATGTGTCCTCACGGCCACCTATTTGATCAATCGAACTCCATCACCTTTATTACATGGTGAGACTCCTTTTCAGCTTCTTTATGGTGAACCAGTTGATTACGCTTGTCTTAAAGTTTTTGGCTGTTTATGTTATGCATCAACTTTACCTTCCACTAAACTAAGTTTCATCCTCGTACAGTAGCATGTATATTTGTCGGATATGTACCTGGGATTAAAGGGTACAAACTCTATAATATAAAGTCCAAATTTTTTTTGTGTCTCGTGATATAATCTTTCATGAAACATTGTTCCCTTTCCAGTCAATTCCTCATTCTACAGATGTTGTTGATCCTTTTCTTGACTTTGTCTTACCAACTCTAGCTACTGATCCTCCATTCTTCAATGTCACTACTCCTAACATTGACATTGATCCTCCTCCTCCAAATAGTCCCATTCATGTTGACAATGCCTCAGTACATGAGTCAACAATTCGAAGGTCTTCCAGGACAGTTAAACCACCTTCCTATCTGTGTGATTATCATTGCCACTTGCTTCAACACAATTCCCTACCTCCATCTCACATCTCTTAGCCTTTGCAAAATTACATTTCATACTCCTCTCTTTCTCCTTCCCATTGTGCATATCTACTCCATGTCTCTGCCACCTTTGAGCCACAATTCTATCATCAAGCCATCACTTATCCACATTGGAGAGAAGCTATGGCTGCTGAGTTAGATGCTATGGAATCTAAACAAACATGGTCTGTTCAATCTCTACCAAAGGGCAAACATTCCATTGGGTGCAAGTGGGTCTACAAAATTAAATATAAATCTGATGGCAGCATCAAACGCTACAAGGCCCGGCTGATAGCAAAGGGTTACACACAACAAAAGGGTCTTGATTTTATTGAAACATTTTCTCCAGTTGCGAAGCTAGTTACGGTGAAAATGTTACTTGCTATTGCTGCCATTAAAAGTTGGCATCTTTTCCAATGAGATGTCAATAATGCATTTTTAAATGGGGATTTATTTGAGGAGGTGTATATGGATCTTCCTTTGGGTTATGATCCACACAAGAAAGTTTCTAGTAAGGGGGAGAAACTAGTTTGTCGTTTACATAAGTCAATTTACGGCTTGAAACAAGCCTCGCAACAGTAGTTTTCTAAGTTCTCCCAAGCTCTAGTTTGCCATAGGTCGCTCAGTCCAAGGCAGATTACTCTTTTTTCACCAAGGGGGGCAGGATCTTCTTTTGTGGCTTTACTAGTATATGTTTATAATATCATCATCACAGGACCTGATTTATTTGTTATTGAGGGGGTTAAAGGGTTTTCTTCATAGCCAATTCAAGCTAAAGGATCTGGGTGCTTTAAAATACTTCCTTGGATTAGAAACTGCACGGTCAGCTCGTGGTTTATTTCTATCTCAACACAATTACACCTTACAATTACTAGACGATTCTGGTTTTCTAGCTTGTAAACCAACATCTTCACCTATGGATCCTAAAGTTAAACTCACTTCACTTGAGGGTGATCTTCTTCATGATGCTTCATCTTATAGACGGCTCGTTGGGCGTCTTTTATATCTCACTGTATCACGGCTAGATATCACGTTTGCTGTCCATAAACTTAGCCAGTTTGTCTCTTCTCCTCGACAGCCTCATCTGGATGCGGCCCATCATCTTTTAAGGTACTTGAAGGCCTCTCCTGGTCAAGGTTTATTTTACTCTGCTGCTTCTGATTTCCAGCTGAGGGCATTTGCAAATGCTGATTGGGGGTCTTATTTGGACACTCGAAAATCTGTCACTAGTTTTTATATCTTCATAGGTGACTCCATGATCTCTTGGAAAGCCAAGAAACAAACAACTATATCCCGATCGTCTGCAGAGGCTGAATACAGGGCCCTTGCCTCCACAACTAGTGAACTAATATGGCCTTATCAATTTCTGAATGATTTTCAAATTCACCAATCTGGACCTGCAGCTCTTTTCTGTGATAACCAAGCTGCAATACATATTGCAACTAATCCCATTTTCCATGAGAGGACGAAACACATCGAGATTGACTGCCACTTTGTACGGGATAAAGTTACAGATGGATCTATCAAACTTCTTCCAGTTCGAACTCACCATCAACTTGTTGATCTCTTCACCAAGGCGCTGCTTGCCAAATCTTTGCTTCCTTTACTTTCCAAGATGGTGATTCTTGACATTCACCGGCCATCTTGAGGGGGAGTATTAGATATTTCACATCTAGCTAACTACCAACTAACTCCATGCTGAGCTATCATTTTACATTTTCCCACCTCTTTGTATTTATATAAATGCTTGATTGTAAAAACAAACTGATAATTCACTTCTTCTATTGAATAGAAATTTTTCCCGCCTTTTTCTCTCTTTGAATTCAATAGTATAAGCAACGTGAGATTGATTTGTACTTAACCAAAAATTTAAAATGCATTCATAGAAGTTTTCAACAACAAAATGCACAAGTTTTCTATGAACAAAAATGTAAACACAAAACTTTATGAGAACATTTCGTTTCAACATTCTACCTACTAGTTCATTATGCACACTTCGATTTACACGACTGCAAGATTATTGAAAATTAGAAAAAAGGATAGATGTTTTGGAATTACCTCCATTTGGTCTTTCCATATGAATGGCTTTAACAATCAAGCTTTGTATTCCTTCGATCGTGGGGAATCGATTGAAGGTTAGGGTTTAGAAAGGATTCGGTCTTTCAGTTTTGGGGCTTTCATTCAGGAGTGCACGATTTCAATTCAATTGGCCGAGTCATGTTTGAGAATTGCATTTCAAATGAGCTGGCATTTGGTTTTTGTTTTGAGAGATTTAACTGCTACATTATGTTCCGTCATCCACGTAAGCAGCTTTAGAAACGGAAGTTGCCTGGTGTGTAATGAATTGTAACTTCATAATGTTTAGTAAGTAATGTAGTGTAAGTGTATTCAATTGAGACTTTTAATAATTTTTTGATATTTAAAAAGTTTAGAGGTATTCGATTGAGATTTTTTGAGACGCTCTAAAAGTATTTATGTATTCAAATGAGATTTTCATCGACATTTAAGAGATTTCTAAAAATCACGATGTATTCAATTAAGGCTTTTATATACTTTTAAAAAGTCTCTAAGAGGGGTGTATTCAATTGATATTTTTAATGACTTTTTGAGGTTTAAAAAGTTTAGGGGTATTTAATGTAAATTTTTTGAAACTCTCTAAAAGCATTGGTGTATTCAATAGAGAAAGTCACGGTGTGTTCAATTAAAACTTTTTAAAAGTATCTATAAATTTTGGGGTATTCAAATTTTAATGAATTCCAAAGACTATTAAAAGTCTTTGGGGTACTAATTTTTAAACAGAAAGTACTCCTATAAAATCTCCAAATTCGTCTATCAAGATTTTGGGAGATTTTCACAAAAAAATAATAATAATAATAATAATAATAATAATATACATTTTCCTTAATATTTCTCTTTTCTTTTTCTTTCTACGAATACTAGAATTATAATTAAAATTTATTTTTTCTATTGATTATATTTATTTCTATTTATTTTTCTCCTGTCTCTCTCTCATATTGTTTATATCTATTTTTTTTATGAAAAAATTATATTGCATTCTGATAACTTTTTTTTCTTTTCTCAAATTTTAAAATTTCATATGGCAAATTTATACTGATTTTCTATTTATTATTTATTTAATTAATATTTTAAAATTTTGTTCTTTTTAAAATGACTTTTTATTATGTGGGGAGAGGAAAGGAAATTGTGGGAATCATCACCTCGTATATAAGAATTTCATATTTTATACTAGATCCACATAAATTCCCCTTTAAAGTTTTTAAAAGTCTTTTGAACTCTACAAAGGTTTATAAAAATTTTAAAATGAAAGTCTATAAAGTCTTTGAAAGGCTTTCACTAAATCCATAATAGTCATAAAAGTCATCACTTAAAAAAGGTCCATCAATATCTTCAAAAGTTCCAATTGAATACACAACTCTAAAGGTTATAGTGTATTCAATTAAAACTTTTTAAAAGTCTCTATAAATTTTGGGGTATTCAAATTTTAATGACTTCTAGAGACTTTTATAAAAAATTTTGGAGTACTAACTTTCAAGTAGAAAGTACTCATATAAAATCTTAAAATTTGTCTCTTATTAATCACGAGATTTTGGGAGAATTTCACCAAAAAAAATTAAAAAATTCTAATCTTTCTTTACTTTTTCCTTCTACGAATATATATGATTAAAATTTATTTTTTTCCTATTGATTATATTTATTTTCATTTAGTTTTCTCTCTCTTATTATTTTTCTCTATTTTCTATGAAAGTGGATAAAGCGTGACCATACCTGAAGATTGGTGTGTGTTCAAACAATTAATTCTAGTAAGGTTCAATGTTAAATTTTTTTGATCAAGTATTAGTAGTGTAATGGTTAAAAGTTTAAGTGACTATTACCATAAACAAAAAATTAATGACTAATGACATAATTATTTAAAACTTTATTGACAATGACATAATTAAATAGAAAAAACAGTTAATTTACTTAACAAAAATCTAGCAGGTGACAGCTAAATGTGTATTTGAGCGATAGACCTTTAATACGTAAAAGTTAAGTGACTAAAATGAAATCTCATTTGAATTGGGTGACCAACAATTTTTATTCTCCAATACATGCATCACAGTATTATACAGATACTAGTCTTGCGCCGTGCAATGCACGGGTTTTGTGATTTTGAAGGTAATGTTTGTGTGCTTGAAGAATAGATTCATACTTCTTGTTTCTTTTGCAAGTTCTCCTAAATTTTTGATGCATAATGTTGTGTTTGTGCATGCGCTTGCTTTTCAGAAGTTAATAAATATTTATAATCAACTTTATTATTTATTATAAAAGTAGAAGCAATTACAAGGGAACATAAATTTTTTAAATAGCAAATGAAAATAAACATTCGAAAATTGCAACAGAAGGTGTAGTGTTGGATGAATAAAAGCATGAAGGTAATGAAAGTAATCATCTATACGGAAAATGAGATACAGAAGATGTAAAAAAGAAAAAAGAAAAAAAACCCTTACGTCTAAACATTGATGGTGTTGTTGGCAATGGTGAATATGCTCAACAAAGAATGTTCTTAACAGTAGTCTATTAATCGATAGCATTGTACAGGTTGTTTGGAGATAGCCAGAGAAAATGCTATAGTTATATTTCTTGCAAGATGCTGGATGAGCTGCTTTTTGAGGTATAGGGTTGGAAAAGTTGTTCCACAAGTTTTACTGATGCAGTTGCTAAATCTACACAATTTCCCCTTCAAGGATGCTTACGTACATAGCATAGCGTAAGGGTTGTAGAAAATACAAGAATCAATAATGTGAAGTGTGATTCCCATTTTATTTGTAACATGTTTACTCATGGCAGAGAACTATAATTTTTGTTAATGCTTTCATGCATGTGAACAAGAGTAATTGTTGCACATGATACAGATGAGTAATCCCTGTGTTCTACCAAGTCTACATAATTTGGGAACTGTGACATTCTAAATTTACTGTAAAGTATTTTATATACTACTTTTGTATTCAAACTTGGAAAATGGTGTCGTACATTGGGGAAAAAAAGTCCTATAACTACTTTTGATAGCCAACAACTGTCATGAACTTGGACAATTAATCGAGTAAGAGTTTAAAAAAATGAGAATAAAAGCAGTTGTTTCATTCAGTTTGGAAGATCACAATAAATAAAGACTTGGGTGGTGTTTTTAATTTTACAATTTCTTGATTGGAAGGAGAGTGCAGCTCAGTTCAAGTAGAGCACTTGTTCCAACTTTCTAAGAGGTAAGCTTTTGTTTAAAACTAAATTGTCAATTCTAATAACACTACTTCTAGCTAGTTCATGGTCAAAGCAATCTTACAGGTGGTCCGAAGTCTAAGAGGGAGCAAGCATTACATTAAAATTTCTGACAATCTTACATAAGATGTAGAGTAGAATGAATTTGAATGGGGAGTCTGGATTGGTTGTTTTAGACAAATTACTGATTTAGAATGGTAACAGGTCCAGTAAGCATTCCCTTCATTGGATGATTTCTGAAGTTCCGATCCAATGTAGATTAACCTTGTTTTTAGGTCTTGACATCAATTTAGATTATATGTGGCTTCATATACCTAGATCCATAAGACTTAACCCATCTATTCAAACTAAAGGCAGTTATTGGTGAAAGTAATCCACAATGTAATTTTTTTGTAGTAGAATATTGTTAATAAAAACTAATAGATGTTTGTGATAATGTTTTGTTAATGTCTTCTGTACAATAATATTACTATTATTACATTTGTGGTTTTCCATGAACCAAAACACTTATATGCTCTCCTTGAAGTTTGATTGCTTTATATACTTCTTCCTTGATAGAGTTCACATTTTTTTTGCCAGATATTCTAAAATAATATTAGAAGAAACACTTAAAAAGAAATAATAAGGAAACAAAATATGTTGTTAGCTTTGTACCAACGCCGTAATTTCTTAAGCTCCAAAGCTTGAAAAAAAGATGCAATAGTAGTGTTTGGAAGATTGGGAAGAATTAGCTTCTTCTGCTTAGCTTTCAACCAGACATTTATATTTATGAGTGTACGATGGTTGGAACCCTTGAAGACAAAAACCTAAATAGAACCATAGAAATTAATGTAATAATTAAAAACAAAGATATGGCAGATTAATTGTGGAAATTAAAGTTGTAAAGAAGAGAGTGATAACCTTTTCAACAGCTTTATTTGTTACTATTCTAAAGGAGTTTCTTTAGGGTTAAGCTTCTTCATTAGTAGAGAAGATTACATGTGAGATAAAGGCCAGGGTAACACGGAGAGTAAATGATTATAAAACCCATGTTAGCAATGGAGATGAAAAGCAATTAGGCGTTTGTTGTTTGAGAACATGAAGACCTCATCAATCAAGTGAGCGATGTAAATAAATCTAAATAACAATGAAAATAGATATCCATTTTTGCAATGAGCGAAAGAAGATTAAGTAGTGTAGTTAGAAAAAATAAAGGATAATGAAAAAACTATAGTGCATCTTCAAGAAGTACACTAACAATAATTACTGCACACTTATTTCAAGGTAAATAATGTTAATAGAAAGAACTGTGAAGTTTGTTTCATCGGATGTTAAATTGATGGTATCATGTATCTACAATTAGAACAACAACTAAGATTTGAAAACGTTATTAGG